CTGAGTGTCAACAATCTCTTACTCTCTACATATGTCTGGGTGGTGATCGCTTTATCTTTTCCCATCTGTGGCAGACAACTTTTCTAGTGATGGCTGAGCAAGGCACTGATCTATGCTTATAGCAGAGTGTTATTAGAAGTCATTTGATTACTGTGTCTTATTTGGTGTTCCCCTAGGACCCTGGTCTATCTGGTCTCAGGTTCTTAGCCACTCAAACAACATTGGATATGGATTCAGTCTCATGGAGTGAGCCGTATGTCAAATCAGACATTGACTGGTCACTCCCATGGGTTGTGTGCCACCATTGCAGCAGCATGTCTTGGAGGTAGGTCACCATTGTAGATCAAATGTTTGTAGCTGAGTTGGAGTTTACTTTTCTCCTCTGGTACAGTGTACCTCCCAGTACTGTGAACATTAGTCCAGATGGCTAAAGGTTCCAGGTAGGCACCAGATTGACTTCTCTGTGTATACTGAGTTTTCAGGTGTTATCTTCAATAATAAGGCCTTACCATCAGTTTGTGGAAAACCTTTGTATGGGGACTCAGAAGGGACCCCTTCAACCAACAACTCAATTAAATGTAAAACATTCCTGGTTGGGGAAGTTTATTTGGTGAAAAGGGGTATCTATTTGGTGTTCCATTTCCCCCATTATTTGGAAGTTTAGTTTATATAGCATATATATATATAAATATATATATATATATATAAGTTTTTACTGTATTAGGTTTCCATACAACCCCTCAAATGGCCCCTCTATTAATATTATCTAAAATTTTGCATGATGTTTGCCATATTTACTTTAAGTAATTGGTTTTTCTTTTTCCATTCCATCCATCTTGACTGTTTCAGCACTTAAAATACTCAAGTTACATGACAGCCTCTGTCACTGACATTCATCAAAGTCTCCCTTGCTCTAAATGCCATTCTGTGTTGAATATATGGCTCATAAGGAAATAATCCACATAGAATCTCCAAAGTTCTACCACTGATGTATCAGCATGTTACCTGAACACTTAACAAAATTTGTACTTTTGATGGGTACAGAGGAAATGAGAGATCCTGAGCTCCCAATCAATATTTCAACATATTTAAAAGACATTCACTCTCAGTTCTAATGTGTTGATGAGACAACCACATCATCTTCCACACCTCAAAGTATAAGGATTTTATACTACACAATATCTGTAGATCTGTAGTGCACTAGAAAGTGGAGAAACATAAGATTGTCTCTAGAAAGCACCACTTAATATTTTTAACATTCCCATCCATAGACAATGGTTCCCATATCCATGACTTTGAGTAAATTTTTAAATTGCAACCAGCATTGAAAATGTAATTAAGTTACGCAAATTTTCCTCACCAACTCAATGTTTTCCAGGATAAAATCAATCAATTTATTTTCTTTTATCAGTTTGTTTCCAAAATATTTTGAAAATATGGGGTATAAATCATCTTATTTTTGTACTTGGGTGTTCAGTAGAAGTTGGGACTTAATGCAGCCAGAAACATAATTTTGATTGACTGGCCCTAGTGGTTGAAATGGATGAAATTCTAACTGTTGAGATATTTCCTCCTATTTCAATCACCCTCAAATGTTGGTTGCCTAAAAGAATATAATTTTAAAAATTAAACATAATGGCAGCTTATGAATTTGAGATGTAAATTCTTATTATTTATTGCCAATTAACATTTTACTTTCATGAGTTATTAGTCCGAAGTGAGCCATTATAGCTAAGATATCTAATGGTCCCTCCTCATGGTGTACATATGTGCAGTTGCTGCATTTCTTTTTTTGACAAGAAAGTTCACATTTTCTTAGCAGAAAACTCACTTTCTCTATTGTATGTATTTATGTATCAGATTTTTATATTTATCTGTTCTGATTTTATTTTAATCTCTATCTCCACATTAAAGTAAAATAAGCATTTGGAGTCAAGTGAAATAACCTTGTAGTAAGTAATGAGAGGCTATTTACATGAAGCTTAAATACAGAATCAGGTCCTGTTTTAAATTTTTGTGTGATAAACTTTCGAATATATTTTTAAACTCCATATTTTAGTTTTTAAGAGCATGGGAAATGACAAATATGGGCTATATTTTATGGCACTTAACTACAATTCCAGAAGAATTCCATTCCTGGCAGAATTCCCTATGGCACAGTTTCATTTCTTTATAACGTTCCAGTTGTATATTTGCTCAAATGTAGGTATCAGCTCTCACTCATTATGTGGTGAGAAAACAAATGACCTTTGTGAGTACAAACATGGTCATGGTGTGAGTGGCGCAGGAAGGACTCTTCTGTGTTTCTTCAGACTATCACTTCTCCTGACTGAACTACAAACCAGAGATTTACAAGGACCAGTGGAACAGTGACTGGAGTGGAAATTGAGCTTGTAAAGGGCTCTTGAGACAGGATGAGTAAAGAAAAGGGGACTCCAGAAGAAAGCATTGGATACTTTGGGGTGGCTTCAAAGCAGTCTCTGGGGATAAGATGATGGAGGGATAGACATCTCACATATGCATTTCTGAAGACTGAAACAGTTCCATGAAGGAGAGGAAAAGATACAAAGGTTAGCAGTGAACCTACTGCTGTGCTAAAGGAGATGCCGTTGGTAGGAATCAATGCATGCTTTTCATTTGTAGAATGACTAGTGTTGCTAGCATATATGGGCACAAAGCACTTTGACTAGATGCATCAAGCCCCGACTAATGCACTGCTGCTTTGGAGAATATTCACCTAATTGAGCATAAATCCATGGCAATTGTGGAATTCTACAGAAATAGTGAGCAACAGAACATAGATATAAAAATATTAAAGTGGTATGGATTTAGCTTAAGCTAGGAATGGGTAGTTACGGCTACCAAATATATCACAAAGTTTAGAATGTGTAACAAATGACATGGAAATGTGTCTAACCTGTTGGATGCATGATGTGTGCCAATGTTGAGGGGAATCATTCATGGAGATGAAACCCAGTCGAACTTATTATGGGAAATGAGACTTTAGGTATGAACATTGCTCTCCCAGCTCAGAGACCTTTTAGCGGACATGCATGGCTGATAAGTAAGATGTAGCCAAAGGGTCAGCCTGAAGCCAGTCAGACATAAGAAGGCAGGTGATGTCACAAACTCCTATGTAAGGGAATAGACCCTCTTCCCAATTTTCCCCAGTACAGGATAACCAGTGGGGGCCTACTGTACAGTGATGACTCAATAGCTGTATGGAATTGCCTCAAGAGGATGAATACTAATGTTATAATAAGTGATGACATTTGTAAAATTCCATTTTTCTTTTCTATGATCAATCTTATAAAAATTCTGTGTCTTTGATGATGCAGAGTTTATTGTTATTCATACTGCAAGAGGACACTTTTGAATATGGCAAGACAGGTGAGACAGCTGGTCATACTGTTTCCAGGATCAAGAAGCTGCAGGATACAATATTGCTGCTGAATTTCCCTTTTCCTTACCGTTCCATCTGAGGTATAGCCCAGGGAATGCTGGTACCCACATTAAGGCAATTCTTTACCACTGAAGTAGCCAGATAAATAATTTTTCTGAGAGCAGTGTCTAGAGGTTTGTCTCCTAAATTACTCATATTATGTTGCCAGTCTATATTAGGTGTCACAACTTTAATCGCTGAGATGCATGATAAATTGAAGCAGAAAGCATCATATTCTAACTTCAAACAATAATATTCTTTCATGGAATAAGGAAGCAATAGCTACCACGCCATGTAAACAAAAAATAGAGAGGTTTTGCATCACAGCCTCATAGGTTATTAATATATTTAATTCAATAGTGAATATAAAAATAATGGTGATATGTTGGGTTTTTTTGGCTAAATAAGGCAATGTGAGGTGTACCCTGTCTTCTACAACTTTGCTTTTTGGAGGACATAAGTGAAATAACTACTGTGATTATACATTATTTATCATCACATTAATAATAGCTTTGCTTGCATTCTTGTTTAATGTTTCAGGAAAATACTGAATTCAATTCAACATGCATTTGTTTGCTGCAGAGAAAACTTGGCCTTCATTGATTCTAACAACTATTTGTAAGGTTCCACTGTATAAAGAGAACATCTAGTGTTACACAGATTTGGAAAACTATGGGCAAGCAAAGATGGCAATTAACAATTTGAAAGCAGTTATCTAGCATGGTTGGAAAAAGTATTAGCTAAACATACAAGATTACTGAAATATTTCATGGTTAATTTACTTAGTTTCCCATGAGTTGTACAATAGTGAGGCTCCATTTAACATCCACATAACACAGAATATTGCCAGTGAACCAGATGCAAACAGTACTAATTATAAGAGACTATGTAATGAGATGCCACACATTCTGAAATATGTGTGTGTGTGTGTGTGTGTGTGTGTGTGTGTGTGTGTGTATTCTACCTGAGACAGGTAGAAGATCTCATAGTGATGGGTGAGTTTTAATAGTAACATGTGGTACTATGGTGGCTACTGCTATGAAGTGTCACTAAGGGACCTGCTGAGTCCAAGAATGCCACTATGAACCCAATCCAAGATATATAGATTCACTTAAGAATGGCAAAACTGTTATAAGAACAAACAAATATGTTTAGATTTGATATAAGCACACCTCCATAGGCAATTCCTATGTTTATAATTTACAAGAATCAAAAGAATTATCAGACAGACAAAAGGATGTAATAAGAAATTTGCATCACTTCACGGCTCTGGTGATTTACAACATAACTTTAACTAGTCATGACTTAAAATTGAGGGAAATAATACCCATATACCTAAGTTAATCTTTGTTGCATTGAGGCTATTAGCTAATGATGGGTGAGAGTAATGGTATCCTCAACTTGGATTCCAGACATTGCTTCTTCCTGCCCCCTAGCAGTGTGTGGCCTTGGGGATGATGTGCTGCACTATATAGGAGGTGGAAAGTTAACTGGAGCCAGAACTTAGGAGGAACAGCTTTCCTGATCAGCGGCAAAGCTGTGGTGGGACTCAGCAGAGATGCAGCTGTGTTTGACTCAACCACATTCCTGTAAGTAGCTTTTCTCCAGACTTCCGCCAGTTGACCTTAATCATTGCATTATTGTACAAAGCTGGTTTGGACAAGTTACTTGTTATGGTGTTATTTTCCCCATATATGAAGTGAATAGATTTTGTTAATATCTGACCCATGGAAGTAAAACAGGAAAAGTTTAGAACAACGTTCTAATCATTTCTCTAGATAGTAGCTATACATCACCTCTTAATTCAGTGGTTCTTGGAGGGGAGCCTTCCTTCCCAGTGGTCATACAGCAGTGTCTAGAGATGTTTAGCATCATCATGGTTGAACTAAGGTGGAAAAGAGGCATGTTATGAGTGTCTATTGGTTGGAAATTGTATGTCTACGCAACTCCAGATGACAAATAACGTTCCAGAGCATGGAATTATCAATTTCACAAAGTTAAAATTTCAGAAATTGAGACTTATAACTGTAATGAATATAGGTAGAATTTATAACAATTACAGAAGGAAAAAGTAATCTAAACTATTCTGATGTCTCTCTTATGAGTTGCTTGACTAGATGTTGTATTCGTAGCTTATCCTGGATAACAAATATACATTTATACACCCTTAAAAAGATCATTCAAGAAAAACACTTTTTCAGCATGCATAAAAGCTGTGCCAGTTTATAGAAGACCAAATACTAGAACAGAAAGGGGAATTGGAAACACAATCCTCTACCCCTGAAGCTATTGGAAATTGTTGGGAGGGGATAAGTTCTTTTGTCAATGTGCAGGCCCTCGTAATTTGAGCACACTCTAGTAGAAGACTATACTTCAAAGAATATTTGGGTATCACAAATGGGTATTAAATGTTTTGTTTTTGTTTTTCTAATTACAAAAAAGTTGTGTGAGAAAGTTGTGTGGACCTAGGAAGAGCTGCAGAATGTGAAATGAACATCAAAATACATAAAAATTATTAAAGAAAAGGGGGTACAATTGTTTTTATTTCCACTTATTTACAATTATATTGTATGAAGTAGCAAAACAAAATCATTAGCTCCTGTTAGGTTTTTAAAATCCTATAAGTGATAAAGGAGATAGTACCTTGTGTGTATGTGTGTGTGTGTGTGTGTGCGCGCATGCGTGTGTGTGTGTGTCAGTGTGTGTGATATTTTTGCTTTTATTTTAAAAGGTGCCTGATTGTCTTGTATACTACAGAATATTTTGATATTTTTACTTAAGTATTAAAGTTAAGATATTTCCATGAATAAAATTTACCAATTCCCTAATTTTCAGTTGCATATTTCCAAAAGATTTTGTTTGCAAGAAGTTTTTTTTAAACTAGTGTCACCAAAAGTGATATAATTTTATTTGTAATAAATAAATGCTGATTTAGCATATTGAAACTTTCAAATATTGGTATGTCCATCATTCAAACGTAAATTGATAATGATACCAATCTTGGTCATTATTAAAAATGTTAAAGTTTTGTGTTATACAAAGTAGGAAAATATTGACAAAGGAGGAAACATGACATTATGGTGCTGACTTATTATGTTAGTTTGTGGCATAACTCTACATTGTCAGTGTTAGTAAACAATTCTGTCTTTTTTCCCATCTAGCTTGAAGTAAAGCTAATACACTGAACTTCCTTGTTACAGTGGCACCCCAAAACTGATATTAGACAAATTTAGGGCCTTGCTCAGGGGTTAATAGCCATTGCTGCTATTGACTAAGACATTTTCTTGGTTCTCAGTACCCCATGGCTTCTCACTATACGCACCTCTAATTCTCAGAGATGCCTTTGTCTGGCATGTACACACACATATGTATGTGTAACCCAAACACTGCTATGCATAAAATAAAATAAATATACTTTTAAATGCTACAAACTCATGACTTAACTCTTATTACAGAAAATCAATAGAAATTCACTAGACATAAAATTATCTGAAAAGAAAGACTTGAACATCCTACCTTGACTTAAATTAAGCTCCAAATATTTTTATAATGCAGAATACCCTTGGGCATAATTTTTAAAGTGTAAAAAGGACATTCATGATTCAAAATAAGAATCTGTGAAAATATGATTGCTAAGATTAGTTTTCCCACTGGAAGTTATCTATTCTCCTACCATGTTAAAAACAGTGTCTTCATAGGAGGCCACTTTGATCATATAAGGCTTCCCTTGACAAGACAACTTTTGATAACACCACAGGAATACGTCTCAGAGTGTCTCCTCTTCTTCTTTAACAGGGACACTGCTCCTACTACTGTCCAACCTGCTCCTGTGGGACAATGTGGCATCAGTACCAATGTGTGCAATGAGGAATGGTCGCTGCTTTGTGTCCTTGAAAGACATGTTTCATATAGCAGGCAGTTTGGCTCGTGAAATCAGTCAAGAAGTTACAGGAATGGTCAATGAGTTTGTAAGTACCCCCACTGACTTCTGGCTTCTTAACCAATCAATCCTCCATCACAATGGTTGTGATACTTTATAGCCTGAAGCAAAACACACCATGATCTAAATCTCAAGCAAGCATTCTTTCTTAAAGGATAAGAATACAGCAGCTACCAAAGTGTGTAGCCAGTAAGAGGGCAGTTGCACAAAATGTTGCTGAAACACTATTATTTTAATGTTTATCTACAGTTAACATTCATTTTGATTAACTACTATGACCTAAAGATGTGCAAGGCATAGCAAAAGAAATGTTTCTTTTTTCCTTTATCTAGTGGGCTATCCGTCACTCCTAACTTTCATTTATTTATTTACTTGTCTGTTTTATCTTTTAATGAAGATAGATGTTTTTTACTCACATACTATTTCCTCTCCCTCTATTCCTTCTAGAGCCTCCGCATGTCCCCTACTCTGAATACACTCCCTTTGTGTCTCTCATTAGAAAAATAACAGGCTCCTTGGGGATAGTAAAAAAAATAAAATAAGCTAAAGCAAAATTAGTACATCAGAACAAATAAAAGAACTCAAGAGAAGGCACAATAAAACCAAGACCCACTTGTTCAAACATTCAGGAATCCCATAAAAACATAAAACTAGAAGCCATAAGATATACACAAATGATCTGATGCAGACCTAAGCAGGCCCTGTGAACACTGCCTCAGTCTCTGTGAGTTCATATGTGTGCAAATTATCTTGATGTAAAGGACCTTGGTTTCTTGATGTCTTTCTTCCCCTTTGGCTCTTAGATTATTTTTATCTCCTCTTCTTCAGGGTTCCCTGACCTTTGAGTAGAGGAATTTGATAGAAAATTTTCATTTAGAGCTTAGTGGCTCAAGGTCTCTTGCTCTCTACATAATGTTTGGCTGTGGCTTTCTTTATTTTTGTTTCTGCAGGAGGAGGCATCTCTGATGATGGCTAAATGAGACACTGATCTAAGAGTGTAGAAGAATGTCATTAGGAGTCATTTTATTTTTACAGTTTTCCTTCATTTCATTGTTTTTGTTTTTAGAAAGTAGCATTGAGTTCTACCCTAGATCTAGTTTCAGGTTCTTGGTCACCCATGCAGTGTTAGGTATGGTTTTGACTTCTCACGGGGTGGGATCTTAAGTCAAATCAGGTATTGCTTGTTTACTTCCACAAGTTTTGTACCATTGTTGCTGTAGGACATGTTACAGGAAGGATTTGATTTTATATCAAAGAGATTGTGGCTGGGCTGGTCTTTATGTTTCTTTTTTGGTAGTGTACAGAGTACCTTCCTGTTCCAAAGATATTAGAACACAGGAGTAATGGTTTATGGAGGGACTAACTCAACTTATCCATGTTCAATGAAATCTATAGGTGTTTTCTTTAGCAATGGGGCCTTGACATTAGTTTATGGGAAGCAAATTATACAGCCTAGGTTGTTTGGTGGTTTCTAACTCCTTTGGCCTACAACTCAATTAGATTTAACCAAATACTTGTACAAATTTCATTTGGTGACAAGAGGTGACCAAATGGGGATCTGTCTCCAGTATTGGAAGTTTTCTTTTATATCAACTTAACATATATATTTAGGAAGCTTATACAGTATAGGTTTTTATACTACTCTTAAATAGCATTTAATTTTAGCTATCTCTTCCCATATTCCCTTTCTTTCCCCTTCTCTTTCCCTCCCCACTTGATTCTACCATTCTAGCCCCTCCTCTTCTATTGAACAATACAGACTTGTAATAAAGGAAACTGCATTGCAGTGACTTGTAAGAAGCAAACAGAGTTAAAGACACTGGGGCAAAGTCAAGAAGATCAGGAAAATTAATAATTGCTCTTCATAGTCCAGAATGTTATGAGCTATCTTTTTATTTAGATTAGAAGCAATCTTAGTTTACATATCAATCCTAGTCCCATCCTCCCATGCCCCTCACAAAACCCCTATCCCACCCTCTTTTAGCTCCCCAGGGAGGGTGAGGCCTTCCATGGGGGATAACCAAAGTCTGTCACATCATTTGCAGCAGGACCTAGGCCCTCCCCCATATGTCTTGGATAAGAGAGTACTCTTTTATGGGGAATGGGCTCCCAAAGTCCACCCATAAGCTAGGGATAAATACTGATCCACTACAGAGGCCCCATAAACAACCCAGGCCTCCTAACTGACACCCATGTTCAGGGGATCTATTTCAGTCCTATGCTAGTTTCACAGCTGTCAGTCTTGGGACCATGAGCTCCCCCTTGTTCAGGACAGCTGTTTCTGTGAGTTTCCCCAGCCTGGTCTTGAGCCCTTTTCTCGTCTTTCTTCTTTCTCTCTGTAAAGTGGATTACAGGAGTTCAGCTCAGAGCTTAGATGTGGTGTCTGCTTCTGCTTCCATCAGCTACTGGGTGAAGTCTCTAGGATGTCATATAAGGTAGTCATCAATCTCATTATAGGAGAAGGGCATTTAAGATAGCCTCTCCACTATTGTTTAGATTCTTAGTTGGGGTCATCCTTGTAGATCACTGGATACTTTCTTAGTGCCAGAGAGTCTCTATAGTTCATTATGAACTATTTTTAATGAATTAAATATACTTGATTTATTAACAAGGAGGTATGGCATATATATATGCAGAACAATTGATGAAGGCATTTTGATAGCTATATGTTAGATGTTCTACCTCAGTCAATGAAGTCACAACCAATGCCTTCTTCACACCAATGAGCTGTGAGAAATCAGCTCAATGCTTGCAAAGCCTATTATTCCTATTACTCATTTTACATGCTATTATTTCTGTCATTTACATTTCATGATAGGGGTCATCACCAAGATTGTCTTAAGTATATTTTGAAACTATCAATAATTCTCTAATTGTAGTTTTAAGTAATAGATACTACAAATAATAAAGAGTAGGGGTACATATAACAAATAATTAAATGTTGATTAATATACAAAAGCAAAATAACTTTCCATTTCAGTTGACTCATGGCTTATGTTTCCTAGTACATTCTGTGCAGTGTTTAAGACTAATTTTGTCACAACCAACAACAGTATTCTGCATTCCTAATGAACTAGGTGAAATAATCTTGTGTAGGTGCCAAGGTATTTAAGAAATATTGTACAAATTGTGGCATGGCATTTTTTACAAGTGGCACATAAAGCAATGGTGATTAGGAGCATGGTTAATTTTAACATCTGCTTGACAAATCACAGTGTCTAGAAAGGACTGCAAATAGTGAAGACGATTTGAGAAATTTTATGAATTTAAACTGACACTACAGATAAAACTTAAAATGTTAAAAATTTTCCCCATGGATGAGTCCCTAATTTACTATACAATACCTAATAATCATCCCTGCAACAATATATACACAGGTAACACTAAACAATGAGTGTGTGTGTGTGTGAGCATGCGTGTAGACATAACACAATAATGATCAAATAAAAATATGCCAAGAAAGGACTGATGACCAAAGGGGTTAAGACTGGGCTGGTTTAACCCCAAGAAACAGCTGACCTGACAAGGGTTAGCTCTTGAATCCCAGACTGATGCATGGGGAATCCAGCATGGGACTGATAATGACCCTCTGAATGTGGGTGTCAGTGAGGAGGCCTAGGTAGTCTATTGAGCCTTGGGTAGTAGATCAGTATTTATCCGGGGTATACAAATGGACTTTTGACTCCCATCCAACAGTGAGAGATGCACTCTCACCCTGAACTCTTGGGGAAGGGTCTAGGCCCTGCCCTGGATGAAATGACAGACTATGGACACCCCCATGGAGGGCCTCCCTGGGGAAATGAGGGGATATTGGGGGAGTTGGGGGGGAGGGTACGGGTGGAGGGGAGGGAAACGGAGAGGGACCTGGAATTGACATGTGAAGCAACCTTGTTTCTAATTTAAATTTAAATTTAAAAATAAAAAATATATTAAAAATAAATAAATAAATAAAAATATGCCAAGAATTAAGAGTAAGAGGGGAATGATAGGAAGAGTTAGAGAGAGGGGACACGGGAGGGGTTGGAGAGAAGAAAAGGAAGTGGAAGACATGTAATTATATTTTAATTAAAATAGTTCTCAAGCTCATTTATTTAATATATTACTTTCAGTTTTTAGTACTTATTTTAAATGCATTAGACTTGTGCTCATTTATTCTTTTCACAATTTCAACTCTCAACTGAGTATTTTGTCAATTCAGAAAAACCACTATGCTAAAGTCCATGGGCTCCAGAACACAGCCCTCACCAGCTGCCACACGTCTTCCCTCCGCATTCCAGAGAACAAGAGGCAAGCCATGAAAACAAATGTGAGTCCTCACTCCATGTATTTCTAACTAAATCTATTGAAACAGTACACTGGATATACTATACAGTATACTGTAAAAAAGTATTGTAATAGACATGATAATCATATCTACGGGAAAATGGAAAAAATATACAAGAAAGGAAAAATACAGGGTACAGTTGATGAACTGTAGGTAGAGTCTGGCAAGTAATATTTTCATATATATGAGTATAAATTGTCCATTTTGAGGTCCTTTTGGGACTCTTCATATTATTCTGCAAGGGTTTTTAAACAGCCATTGACATTCAAGTATAAAGATGTATTGATGCAGACATAGACAATGCCAATACAGTTGTACTTTTATCCTACGTTAGTAATGGACCCTGTGTTTACAAACCAGTTCACCATCGTTTCTTGGCTTCTAATTATCTTCTGTTTCAGTTTCTGTTTCTAATTTTGCGTGGATTCCTAATAATTCTTACCTGTGTCATGCCTAAAAATCAGCTAAAGGAAAGAGTACAATAGATACTGTGTGGTATTCAGTAAATGTGCAGCCATACAACTGTGTGATTACAAGTCTACACTCATGGCTCCTCTAATTCATTATTTTTATTATCTCACTTCTGACTTCCTACATAAATCATCACAATATGATTTAGATTAAATATTATAATACATATAGCCTTATACGTCTTCACAATTGGAATATGTCCTCTGTGTTCCACTTAATGGTAAAAACATTCTGTATCTTTCTAATTCTTATTAAAATCAAAGTGAAATAATGAAGGAAAGTGAAAAAAGTCAAAGTGAAGAAAGAGATTCTATTTCATGAAAGTCAACACTTCTCTAAAATCTTTGTAAGGCACTGTACTGGCATCTCTGAATTTAATTTACTCTAAAATTCTATATCACAAAGGGATTTTACACTTCTATAGTTGGTATCATCTACAAAAGGTTGTTTGAAATACGTGTTTAAATAGCAAAGGGGAGGGTTATCTCACTCTTTTGAAAAAAATTGTGTGTATCTAACTATTTTACTATGATTATTCTAATGTAAATAATCAAATGTGATTACTTAGTATGAAGTCTTATTGAAATCGGTGGCCACTATTTTGGGTGCTTGGGAAAATCCAATGCAACACCTAGTGAAAGAACTATCTACCTTGAAAGAAGTCCCTGCTGATGTCATCTCCAAAGCCAAAACCATTAAGGAAAAGGATTCTGGACTGTTTGAGGGGGTTAAGACCCTTTACAACCTGGTGAGTTGTTCCCATACACTTCTCTTTGCCTTTCTTCTCATAAATTATGTGACAATAGCAAGGATAACTGAGATTTTGATTTGCAAAAATAAAAATAATGACATAAATTTAAAAATTAATATAAAAACAGACAAATATTTTGACATAAACGTATCTAAAAGGCATGCTATTAAGTGGCTGCTGACAATTCCAACCTTCTGTGGTGAGTTTTATTCAGATACTCATATACCATGGCTCTCAAAAGAAAAAAACCATAGTACTCCTCATTTTAATTTGGACAGTAGCATTTCTGTCCAAAAGACAGATACTTAAGTACCTTAGCATGTATTTAGCATTATCATCCCTTGACAATTTGCATCTTAAGCCATCAATCATAAAAATTGTTGCATCTCAAGTAAGGATATACACATTATATAAAATCAATTTGAATTAAAATAAAATGGATTTTGTTAGAAAAAACAAACTTTTAATAACTGAAAATGGCAATATTTCAATACCAGGACATTAAAAAATACAGGAAAAATCAGGGACTGTTGAGGACATGGAACTTTCCTTAAATGATTTGATAGATATTTATTCTTTCAGTGTCCTTTCCTCAAATCCCTTTCTAAAATCAGGTAACTTACTTATTTTCCATCCTTCGACTTCTGTAAGAATGTAATTTATCAGATAGAAATTGCAAGCACCAAATCTTGCTATTTACCTGGTCCAATATCAATGAAGATTCATGAATTTAACTGTTTTGGCAATTCTAACTTTTTATAAATCTTCACTAAGAATTTAGATGGGATATGCACCAAAAGTACTTAAATATAATTGATAGTTGATTATGCTTTTGGTGATCAGGTTGGAAATGGAAAAACAGAGAACTACCCTGCCTGGTCTGGACTGCCATCCTTGCGGTCAGACAATGAAGATGCTCGAATTTTGGCTTTGTATGACATGATCAGCTGCCTAAACCGTGACTCTAAGAAGATTGATATTTATCTAAACATCTTGAAGTGCAAAATTTCCCAACTGGAAAAGTGCTAAGCCTCCTTCCATCTGATCTGATTCTGAAATATGTGGCATCCTTCAAACTTTTTAGCTTTTGAATTTTGCTATTGTTGTCTAATTTAAAATAAAAAGTGGCAGTTTCCTTTGTACCAGGTTTCTACCTGATACCAAATATCACCCATATCAAAACATCTCTTTCAGTATTCTCCCCCTCCATCCAGTCCCTAACTTGATTCCTCATATTACCTTCTCCACCTGCTCCACTAAGCTGCAAGGATTAACACAGCTAAAAGTCCTAGCAATAGTGGACAGGTACTCTGAGTTGACCCTCTCCTGTAATCAGATTGGTGAGTACTCCAATTGTCATCAGAGTCTTCATCCAGTGACTAATGTGAACAGATCAGAGATTCACAACCTAGCATTGGACTGGACTTGGAAAATCCTATTGTAGAGAGGGAGGGAAGATTGTAAGAGCCATTGGGGTCAAGGTCATCTAAAAGGAACCCACAGAATCAACTATTCTGGGATCATAGATCCCAGAGTCTAGACCAACAATTAGGGACCCCGCATGGAACCAACCTAGGCCTTCCACATATGTGCAACAGTTGTGGTACTTTGTCTATTTGGGGACTCCTAACAGTGGGATCAGAGTCTGTACCTAATGCTTGGCTGGTTTGGGGAAACATATTCTTAAAGTTGGATTGCCTTTCCCAGCCTTAATGCAAAGGGAGGAGTTTAGCCCTGCCTCAAGTTGATATGCCATGCTTTGTTGCCCATGGGTAGCCTGTACGTTTCGAACAGAAACAGAAGTGGAATGATTGGGAGGAGAGGAGGGAAGGGAAACAGTGATCAGAATGTAAAATAAAAATGAATACATTCAATAAAAATAGAAAGTGGCTCTATTTGTTTAAAAATCTCAATGGTGAATTGGTCAAATTTTCTATTAGTGATTTAATGTAACATTTTATCCATACTAAACATATTTCAATCAAACATTTGCAAGCAATGGAAGATAGACATGCAACTGACACATTTCATAACTAATTTAGTAATTGAGAATTTCTATTGCTTGTCAAATTGTAAGAATCAAGATGTAGTGTTTTTAGGAATCTTCCTGGTGAGCCTATAAAACTTTGAGTATTTGGGATCATTAACAAAAGTCAGACACTTCTGATCACACAGCATACAGTTATGAAAGACAATATGATTATGATAGGTGTGCACCATTCGAAGTACTGAAAATATTTCAAAAAATTTAAAATTTCTCAGAATGAAACAATTAAGTGTTTCTTGATTTCTTTTTCTGACTTTTTTATTTAAATTAAAAACAATCTTGTTTTACATACCAATCCCAGATTCCTCTCCTTCCAGTCTCCTCACTCCCCCAACTATCTCTCCATCCCACCCCCCAGAGAGGGAGAGGCCTCTCATGAAGGATCATCAAAGTTCTCAATTTCTTTAAAAGTTTTGTTAAACATGATCGTGTCAGTTCTCATCTTCTTAACACCATCTTTGACATATACCACATGTAATTCACCTTGAGTAGACTAAGGCTTCTTTGCACTATCCTTACCTTCTTTCTCATATTCACATTATTTAGTTTTCCCCTTTCATCCTCTCTTGTGTGAAATCACATGGTGTGTAATGAAAAATAGAGTTCCCATGATGTTTCTAGCTCCCCCTTTTGCTAGATTTCCGTTCTTTTCCGTTTAGAGAATTAGATATAGAAATAGAAGACACAAAAATTGTAACCTCATTGGCCTATGATTTTAATGATTTATTGTTGATTATGGACATTTTATACCACTTAAAACACTACATACATACATACATACATACATACATACATACATACATATATACATACATACAAAGGTACATATGAAATAAATTAATATAAAAATTAGTTATTTTATTTTTATTCTCAGTGCAATTTTCTTAAACAATAAACAAGAAAGAACATATATTATTTGCAGGAAAATGGAGTAGGAGACAATTATATTAAATTACTTAACAGGACTAATAAAAATAAATGTTACATGTTTTCTCTCACTTAGGAGCCTATATTTGTTCATATCATGTGAAAGCAGAAATTATATTCTCAAGTGAAACAAAGTAAGGTAACATGATAGGAAGAGAAAGAAATCATATTATGGCATAGGGCTAAATGTACCCAAAGCACATTTATTTACTTGTATAAAAATGTCTTCATGTACTCCAGTAGAATGTAAACAAAATGCAAATTTTAAAATCCCAATCCTGAGCAAGTCATAGCTATGAAATATTGGATAACATTTGTGGACTCAGATGCAAGCACATCTCCTGGCAGTCATTTGATACACCTCAGTTCCTTACTTCTGCTGTTTAAACATGTTATATTCTCAAATCTAATGATTCATAGTTCAGAACCACAAACAAGAGATAACATGTAACCTTAGTCTTTCAGTATCTAGGTTACATTACTTAATAAAATATTTTCCATTTCCTTCCATTCCCCTGCATATTACATGGTTTTGTTTTCCTTTACAGTTGAGTATAATATAACTGTATTGTGTCCAATTTTTATTACATATTCATTAGTTGCTTACATTCCCTAGCTATTGTGAAGTATACATCAATGAATATAACTAAGCAAGTATCTCTAAAGAGAATACTAAGTCAGTTATTAAATGTAAACAATGCTTTTCTGTTGAATTAGTGGCTGCACATGAATCTACTGATATTTTAATTATTGTCTACAGCCCTAAGCTCTCAATTCCCCACCAGTCACTCAGGATGCGTCCTGGAGGGCCTTCTGGTCTGTGGACCTGGCTCTTCCACAGCTGTGATATGTAGCTTTAAGCTAAGTCTCTGTTGTTTTATTTACCAACAGAGACTTGGAAGTCAGATGTGGGAGTGAAAGCCTGTTAGATCAGAGAAACTGAGAAGCAACCAGCTGGCCTTGCTTTTTAGCCAGAGATCCATCAAGAGGCATGACTCTTCACTGATCCCAAAACTAAAACAAATAAGAACCTAGAGTTATAATCACTCAAAACCCAGATGCCTAGATGCTAGATTAATAATATAATCCACAATAACCAAGACAATATGTCACCAGCAGAGTCCAGCAATCCTACTACAGCAAGCCCTGGAGAGATGTCTCAGCAGTTTAGAGTACTGACTGTTCTTCCAAAGGTCATGAGTTCAATTCCCAGAAACTACATGGTGGCTCATAACCACCTTGAATGAGCTCTGATGGCCTCTGCTGGCATGCAGGCAGAATATTGTATATATAATAAATAAATTAAAATAAAGGAAATCAAGGAAAAAACAAACAAAAATAAATCCCTTCATGAAAGGGAAAAAATCAGTTGAAGGAAATGAATAAAACTGTTCCAGTCCTAAAAATGGAAATAAAACCAATAAAGAAAACACAGTCTGAAGGAATTCTATAAATGGAAAATGGAAGGAATCAAACAGGAACTACAGATTATTAGCATCATCAGCAGAATGTAAGAGATGGAACAGACAATCTCAAGAATCTCATATGATAGAAGAAATAGATGCATTTGTCAAAGAAAACACTAATATAAAAAATTCCTGACACAAAACATTGAGGAAATCTAGGACACTATAACAACAAAGCCAAAAATAACACGAATAGAAGAAGGAGAATCCCAGATAAATGCCCCAGAAAATATTTTCAACCAACTCATAGGAGAAGATTTTTCTAAAGTGAAGAAGTACATGCTATAATGGTACAAGAATCTTATAGAACACCAAATAGATTGGACCAGAAAAGAAAATCCCCTCACCACATAATAATCAAAACACTAAACATAAAGAACAAAAAAGAGTATTAAAAATGACAAGGACAAAGGATCAATTAACCTAAGAAGGCAGATCTACTAGAATTACACCTGATTAAAAGCCAGAAGGGCCTGGACAGATGTCCTGCAGACTCTGCAAGACCACAGATCCTAGCGCAGACTACTATACCCTGAAACATTTTCAATCACCATAGATGGAGAAAACAGGATATCCATGATAAACTAAATTTAAAACAGTATCTTTCTACAAATGAAGCTCTGCAGAAGGTACTAGAAGGAAAACACCAACCCATAAGATTAACTACTCCCATGAAAACTCAAGAAATAAATAATCTCATACCAGCAAAACCAAAATAAGGGAAGTACACACACACCACCACCACCATCACTGCTACCAATAGCAACAACAACAAACAAATAGTACCAGAGGTGCCCTGAAAAAGTTCAAGGGAGGGAAACAAACATTAGTAGTACCCATCTATGGTGCCTAATAACCACAACAAGAACAGCATGGTACAATAATCATAAGGATGCAATAGTGGTATACATACATTAATTGCAACTAAAAACTCCAATTGGACTCAATACCTAATAACAAAAGAGACAGGACTGGTATAGGTACCTGGGGCTAGTGAAGTCATCAATCTTGGAGGAGAATCTACAACTGCCACTTTGCTAAACTATCATAGTTCCTATCTACATTATTAGTATTTATCTTTATATCCACAAATAAGAGTAGTTCTCAGCCCTCATCAAAAACTTCTCTTGGCACCAGAGGCTATTACAGAAAATCACAACTTATCAAAACACAGAGAACAAAAGATCATATGGTGCCCATTCACAGTTGATAATAGTTAAGATACAATTTGTGAACCTAATGTTCAGGGATGGCTGCAGAAAATGGGATGGAAAGCTTTTAATAACTAGAAGTGTTGGGCCCCAGCCCCCATGGCGTCTCTGTGAGTCGCTGGTCAGCCAACAAGTGCATCATGTTTTCCAGTCCAAGTGCATCATGTTTTCTAGTCCTGGCTTACTGCCATGGCCTTGCCCCACTGACATCGACATCTAGCAGGAGGAAAACACAATCTCTTCCACCAGGAGTTTTTCCACTGTGCTGTAAACCTGTATATAAGGCTGCTCCTTCTCTACAATAAAGAAGAGACCTCTTAGCACAAATGACTGGATGCCTTGTCTTTCAGTTCAATCTCCAGGTTTTTGCCCAATATA